CACTTGCCAGCATACACATATACAGGAAGACTCACAGGTAAAGACAGCCATCTGCAGACAATGGGAGTCATCAAGATTCCAAACCATCATTAATGGCCCACACTTTACATAATTACAATAGGCCCTCAGAGTTATATTTTATATTTTTAGTTTTAGATACAAGAGTGGTACATTTATACAAATCGGATGATCACACTCAGTAGATTATAAGCTTTGTAATGATACCTTACAAGAGACCTTTTGCATGAAGCATATCAGTTACATTATATTCACTTTTTACCATATTTTTCTAAAGCTATCCCAGTTACATTATATTCACATATTATCATGTTTTTATAAAACCATATAGCCTGCACAACGTCACAAGTGGTTCTCAAACTGTGGATTGGGACCCCATTTTAATGGGGTTGCAGGGTCAGCCTTAGACTTGCTGGGACTTGGGGCTGAAACTGAAGCCTGAGCTCTTTTTTTTCCATCTTTCCCCCCCCCCCTCCTCCACCTAGGGAAGTGGGGCTCAGGCTCCAGCCCCTTACCCCAGGGTCATGTAGTAACTTTGTTGTCAGAAGGGAGTCATGGTGCAATGAAGTTTGAGAACCCCTGCCCTATAAGGTTCTTACATACCACTCTGGCAGCATAAAGAGGCATCACACCCAATTTAAGTCCCTTTCATGCTGTCAAACCAGGTGAAGGGTGCTTTAGTGTAACTGCATCAGGCACTGAATTTTTAGTAGCTTTTGTTCTAACGATGCTGGAAGTGAAGTAGTAGTTGATGGGTTTTGGTTGCATAGTTGGCATCAGAATGTCTTCTGTTGAAAGGGTCATGTCTGGCATAAAGGTCTTGTGATGGTGTAGTGCTGGAGTCTTTGCAAATCATGTAAAATCAAAACAAAATATATAGTGTCCCCCCTCCTTCACTGCTTCTGTTTGAATTGTATTCTAGTGTAGTTTGTCCTGCTGGTACGAGTGAGGCCAAACACTATTGCAACATATAGATTGGCCACGCAAACCATGTTAGAAAACAGTCCAACTGGGATCACTATTGCACCGTGAAACTTCTTTTAACATGGGTTTGAAACGTTACCCTATTTTGTATATGTATGGGCGAAAAGGTTGCTATGGTCTGTATTCCTGTTTTTACTCCCTATATGTTCAAGGATGAGGCTTTTAAAATGGATCCCTTTTGTGTCTGAGACTTCTAGCATATGACTGGTATAGTTGGTGAGCAAGCTAAGAATTCTGGCAGAGCCATAATATGTGATTAGAGAGTACAACTGTGGGTTAGGTATTGCTGAGTCCTTTCCTATGGAGAGAAGAAAATTTTGCTGCACTAGGACCTTTGAGTTGCATAGTTAATCTGACAGAATCTGTTAGTCTTAAAGGTGCCACAGGACCCTCTGTGCTTTTTACAGATTCAGACTAACACGGCTATCCCTCTGATAGTTAATCTGGTTAAGCACACACCTAACTTTAAGCAAATTATGGAGCTCAGTTGGCTGTTTCTCTTCTCCCCCCTCCCCCCCCTTTTTTTTTTAACCTTCCATGGCCCATGTGGGACACAATCTGTGACTGAGATACAAGTATTATTCATGTGGGAAGCTCAAAATGCTGTAGGAATCCTTCTCCTGGAGTAAATTACATCCCCTCCCCCCCCCCAGAAACTCAGCTTCTTGATTCTGTATTTCTGATGTACATAACTTTTAACAATAAAAGTGAGAGAGACACCACATTTATATAGAATGTAGGGAACTTTGGGACTACAATGGGTAATGCCCATTGAAATGAGGGAAACTTGAGTAGTCTGATGTTTACTTGTTAAATGAATTTGCTTTCATTTAACTCTTTCTTCATAGGAAAAGCTGTGCCTTCGTGTAAGTATTAGCAGAAATCGTCATCTGTCCTTCATGGTTCAGGAACTTGTCTGAGTCTCCTTGTAGATTTCTAAACATCTGATTAGTTTAGGCATGTCCAGCTTTCAGGCCTGATATGCCTACACTTAAAATGTAGGTTGCTATAGCTAGTTCACTTGGGGTGTGAAAAATCCACCTCCTTGAGTGACATAGCTATGCTCATCTAATCCCCCAGTGTAGCTGCAGCTAGGTTGATGAAAGAATGATTACATTGACCTAACTACCATCACTCAGCAAGGTGGTGGTCCTAGGTTGATGGAAAAATGCCTTCTGTAGGTGTAGGCTGCGTCTGCACTATGGTGCTGTAGTTACGCTGGTTTAATGCCTGTCACATAGACATTGCCTCAGTCTCATTTCTGTGTTTATAAAAAAAAAAAGTTGTAGAGCCCATGAATATGCTGACAGGGTAGTTGTTTTATAAATAAATAGGCATATTTCCACACACACACACACACACACACTATAATCTCATAGAACTGGAAGGGACCTTGAAAGGTCATTGAGTCCAGTCCCCTGCCTTCACAGCAGGACCAAGTACTGTCCCTGACAGATTTTTGCCCTAGATCTCTAAATGGCCCCTTCAAGAATTGAATTTACAACCCTGGGTTTAGCAGGCTAATGCTCAAACCACTGAGCTATCCGTCGTGGTTCCTCCCCCCCCCCCCCCAAATGTTAGCACTTTGCAGAACATAGATAAGACACATTAGCTTGCCGTCTAAATATATATTTGCTTAATTCTATAGTGTGTTTTGCTTTCCAATCTCAGAACTGGGGTCATTCACCCAGTTTCTCTGTCCATTGGGTGGTAGTGTGGTTCAGTGGGTAGGACACCAGACTGGGACTTGAAGGCCTGGATTCTATTTCCAGCTCTGCTACTAACCTGCTGGGTGACACAGGTCAAGTCACTTAACCTGTTTGATTCAAATCTTTCATGTGTAAAATGGAAATGGTAACGACTAATTCCTTTTGTAAAGCACTTTGAGAGCCCTTATACTGCACTTTTCATCCATAGATATATTACTATTGTTAATACTGCTGGCCAGAAGGCTGGGTTTCTTAAACTGGGAAGACATTGACTTTAATATTGAATAATAACAAAGTACTATATCATACTATAGTTTAAATCTTGGCTTACATTAAGAGTATGGAGATCATGCTGGCTAGTTCAGATCTGTATTCTGCCTGTTCTGAAGATTTTTTTTTTTTCCCCCAATATAGTATCACAGTCTCTTCTAGTGAGTAGATAGCATGTTACTTTCCCTGGAATCCTGTGATTTCAGGTGTGGAGCTCTTATCTGTATTTATGCTCAGATTAGTAAGGTTCTCCTCCTCTTGGTGACTGGGAAGAGGAGCTTTTTGTCTCTAATTGTGACAAAAAAAAATTTCTGCCCTCATGTAAAAACACGTAGCCTCTCTGTCTCAGCCCCAAATGTCTTTGGTCAGGCTGCTGTCTCAGCATAGTGTTCTGTTTCAAAAACTGACTTGTAAATCGTTCAGATTCTGAAGTTTGACTTTTCTACTTTTTCTCTAGGAATGGGGCTCTTATCAAAACTCATCTCTGGGAAGGGAAAAAGAATTACCTGTAATTCTTTTCTCCAAAGGTACATGGTCATAATAGATCCACTTTCACCCACTTGCTTCCTGTGAGTCGTCACCGTGTTGCTAGAAAAGGAACTGACAATTGAGGGCTGGGGCATTCTGACTCTGTCTTCAAGTCACATGACTGCCGCTCTGCTGAGAGTTTTATATTCTCAGTTTACTAGACAGCTCCACTAGTCTGTCCATTGGAGGCACAGAGCTGGCAGTCGCAACCTCTTATAGCTGCATGCTGCCAGAGATCAAATACTGCAGGTAAATAACCTTTCTTTTTATCTAGCTTAGTGATTTTACCCAATCCTTAAATTCCTCCCCCCCAGTCTTGGTGCTCCAATTTTGCTAAATTCAGGTGACATTCACTGCATTAAGTGTGATTTTTCTCAATAGTGTTCTTAATGCAGGCAAGAGACAATAGCCTTTCTAAAACACTCTTAAATACGGCAAGACTTGTTTTAGAAAAGTTTTCCTAATGACAGTAATTAATAATTACTAGGTTTAACAATTATTTACTTCTCTTTATCCTTTATTTCCCTGCATTTTTGCATTACTAAATGTTCTACATTGACATAATGATTTCCCCCCCAAAATAGGAAAAAAGTTTGGGGGTGTGTGTGTGTGT